ATTGCTTGTCGTGTTCTGGTATGTTGGGACTCTTCTCTTTACTTTGTAAATATTCTTCATTGCTCTCTTCAGGAGATTACTTGCAGGGTTACTCATGTTTCTGAGGGGTTCTCATTTGGGATTATTTTTCTGTATGGTTCTAATGACCCTGGGAATCGCTGTAATCTGTGGGATTTCCTTAGGGATCAGTTGGCAGTGTTTGATTCAAAGGGGCTCCCGTGGCTTGTGTTGGGTGATTTTAATGCCATCTTGGGAGCCTCTGACAGAGTGGGTGGTGATCCTACGTGGTATGGTTATATGAATTATTTTGGCCAATGTATCCATGATGCTGAGTTGATTGGGGTTCCTTTTACTGGGCTTCGGTATACTTGGCATAACGATCAACAGGGCGATGGGATTATTTTACGGAAGCTCGATTGGGTCTTTGCATCACTTTCTTGGTTCCTTGATCAACCAAACACAGATTCAGAGTTTTGACCTCGGGATGCTTCAGATTATAGCTCTATTGTTGTTCGATTTGGTCCCCGCCATGGCAAGGTACCATCCCCTTTTAAATTTCTAAATTTTTGGGCTGATCATGCAAATTTTAGGGATATTGTTCAGGCAGTTTGGGACGAGCCTATTGTAGGCAATCCTATGTTCCGTCTTACGCAGAAATTGGGGTTAGTGAAACGGAAGCTGAAATCTTTACATATTAGGGTTTCCAGTCATATCTCCAACAGGGTAATTGAGGCTCAGGCTCAGTGGGCAACAACTCAAGGAAACTTGGATCGGGACCCCTTTTCTACTGAGTGTATCTCGGAGGAGAGGAACCTTGCCAACCAGTATTTCAGTCTTTGTTGAGATGAGGAGGCTTTCTTTAAGCAGCGGTCTCGTGTTCAGTGGCTGAACTTAGGGGATCAGAATACTAAGTTCTTTCATAAGTAGCTGATCCATAGGCAGGTTCGGAACCGCATCCATAGTTTAACTGATGGGAATGGTACCCATATTACTGACAGTCAGGGTTTAGGGCGTTTGGCAGTGGGTTTTTTTCAGGATCTTCTTGCTGCCCCTAGTCAATCTCAGATTGCAGAGGCTTCCAGGTATTTTTCTGGACGTATTTCTCCTGATATGATTTCTTCCTTGACTGCTCCTATCACTGATGATGAGATTAGGATTGCTTTATTCTCTATCCCGGATGATAAAGCCCCGGGCCCGGATGGATTCACATCTTTGTTTTTTAAGCGGGCATGGGATATTATTAGTACAGATTTCAAAGATGCAGTGAGACATTTTTTTGCTACTAATGAAATGCCAAGATGTGTTAATGCCACCAGGATTGCTTTGGTTCCTAAGGTGAGAGCCCGAGTCGTATGACGGGCTTTAGACTGATATCTTGTTGTAATGTACTTTACAAGTGCATTTCTAAGGTGATTGTGAATCGGTTTAAAGTAGTGCTTTCGGATATTATTGGGGTTTCTCAGTCAGCTTTTGTCCCGGGTCAAAGGATTTTTGATAATATTCTACTGACTTAGGAGCTTTTGCGGAATTATCATCTTGGGGGTACTTCACCTCGATGTGCCCTTAAAGTTGATATTCGGAAAGCTTTTGATACTGTGAGTTGGGATTTCATCCTTTTGGGATTGCGTTTGGTGGGTTTTCCTGAGGGTATGGTGAGGTGGATCATAACATGTATCTCTACACCGTATTTCTCTGTTTCCTTGAACGGAGAGCTTCACTGTTTTTTTAGGTCCTCCCGAGGTGTTCGGTAAGGGGACCCTCTTTCTCCTTACCATTTTCTGTTGGCTATGGAGGGGTTGGCTAGTATTTTTCGGGAAACCTCTCACAGCCCTGGTTTTCATTATCATTGGAGATGTAGGCGGGCATCTATTACTCATTTGTGTTTTGTGGATGATTTGATGGTGTTTTGTAGAGCAGATGCTTCCTCGGTTAGCTTGATCAAATCGGCCTTGGATTATTTTGCTAAGGTTTCTAGATTAGTGACTAATGTAGAGAAGAGCCAGTTGTTTCTTTTTGGAGTTACAGATGAGGAGCAGATTGGGTTACAATCTATCATGGGTTTCCAGTTGGGCCAGTTACCGGTAAGATATCTAGGGGTTCCTCTAATCTCTACCCGCCTTCGACACTCTGATTGTAGGCCTCTATTGGAGTTAATTCTCACTCGGATTAGACTATGGACGTCGGCATCTTTGACCTATGCAGGCCGACTACAGTTGATAAAGTCGGTACTTTTCTCCATACAGGTTTATTGGTCATCCATGTTTCTTTTGCCGGCAGCTACAGTTACACGGATTGAGAGTATTTTGGCCTCATTTCTTTAGAAGGGTACTTCTTTGTCCTTTTCTAGCGCCAAGGTTGTATGGTCTTCTGTCTACTATCCATTGACGGAGGGTGGCCTAGGGATTAAGAGGATCCAAGATTGGAATAGGGCAGCTATTCTTAACACGTTTGGAGACTACTTACTGATAGATCTTCTATACGGTCTTCTTTGGCCCGTTTGGTTCTCCTCCATGGTCGGTCCTTTTGGCATATTCAAGTTACTTCTAGGGCTTCATGGGCTTGGAGGAAGATTTTACTTAGTAGGGTTTGGTGCCGCGGTCTTATTGTGACTTGTATTGGAGATGGTAGAGACACTATGTTATAGCGAGATCACTAGCTTCCGCAGGGTCCTCTGTGTGACTTGCTCCCTTTTAGAACCTTGACTTCCACTGGTTTGCCATGGGATGCTCGGGTTTCAAACATTATTCGGGATGGTTTGTGGGACTTTCCTTCGAGCAGTGCAGACATTCAGCATATCTGGGGCTCTATTATAGTGCAGCCTTCAGCGAGTCATCCTGACCATCTTGTGTGGAAGGGCCATCCATCTGGACATTTCTCTATTGATTTAGCCTGGAATGTGTTATGAGACAAACGGGATGTGAACTCGATTCATCATCTCTTGTGGTTTCCAAGGCATATTCCACATCACTCTTTCATTCTCTGGCTCGCTTCTCTTGGTCGGCTTCACACCATGGATCGGCTCAGCTCTCATGGTGTCATTACGTCCTCCCAATGTGTTTTGTGCAGATCAGCTACAGAGACCCATGACCATTTGTTTTTCAGATGTGACTTTTCCAGTTATGTTTGGCAGGAGGTCACTACCAGGACGCTCTCTACATGGCCTACTCTCTCCTGGCTCCCTCTGCTCCAGTGGGTTAGCTTGCATCTTCAACGAAAATGTGACTTTAGCCACCTTCTTTCCCGGTTGGTCCTTTCAGCCACAGTTTCCTATGGCTTGAACGGAATAATCGCGTGTTTCATCGGCATTGTGGCTCTCGCAGAGATATTGTCTTAGCTATTTGTGATCTAGTTCGGGCCAAGATTTTAGGTCTAGCACCTAAGTACGAGATCTTGACTCAGCTCCATGCGATATGGCATCTTCCTGGTTAGCTTTGTAAGGAGCATGCGTGCTCTTTTGTGCCGGTTTGTGGTTTTGTGTTTGTGGTGAGCTTGCGTGCTCTTTTATGCCGGTTTGTGGCTTTGTTATTTATGGCATCTTTTTGCTTTGTGGGGAGCCTGCGTGCTCTTTTTATGCTGTTCGTGACTTTGTGGGTTTTCCCATGTGTTTTTTGACTGAGAGTTATCAATCATCTTCTTGGGCTATGCCCCTCGTATTTGTATATTTTTTGTCTCTTTTATAAATACTTACTTTTTCCAAATATATATATATAACAAATTAATCACATATATGTATTGATCATCTATTACAATAGACTTTCATACTACTGTGAATTTATAGGTGTTGATACAAAATATATATGTAGACATTTAAAATATTTATGATATATATATAACCTATAATTTTGTAAAATCTAAAAGTAGTGACTAAACGGTGAGTTTTTTATTTGTCTATAAAAGAATAGATTATTATGTTTTTGTACATTTATTCATTCAATACAGAAAAATTCAGTTTTAGTTATCTTCAGCTCGAGCTATATTTTATTCAAATGCTGAATTAAATGGGTGTATATTTGTTTTTTAGAGCATGAATTGGAAAGTTTGTGTATGTTTTTTATTCGAACGAGTTATTCAAACAAGTATGAACGAGTGATTCGAACAGGTATTTATGAGTTAATCAAACGATCATGAACATATCGTTTTGCTAATCGAACGAACTCGAACAGCCATTCTGTGTTCGTTTGAGTTCGAACACTCCTTTAAGCTTATCAAACGAGTTTCAAACGAGAGTGTTCGTTTGTGTTCGGTTAATTTGCAGGCCTAATATGAAGAAAACTATAAAACTATAAAAACATGTTGAAGGACCTAAAAAATAACACTCTTTGAAAGGGAAGGGTTATTTTTTAGGCTTAATTTCATTGAAGCATTAATTCGAGAATTGAGACTTTTCACAAACACAATGTGGACAATAAACGTAGTTTGGCATCGTACATAACGATGGTTCACGCGACGATGAAGATGGGGGGTAAATAATAGCATAGCATTTCCCTCCTACCCTAATAAATTTATTTGCTCATATTTTGCGTCGAGCCGCTGGACACGCGATGGACGGAGCCACGCATGACAGGACAGCTAATAAATTTTCCTACTTACTCCTTCACCTCTCACCATTATTGACTTAACTTCCCCCACCCGCCGTTATTCTATTATCTCCATTCTCCATTGCATTTACTGCTACAACTTTTTATCATCTTTTCACTTCCCAACAGTACCCTTACCATATCACCTAAACCACGATCGAACCTGTAAACATAACACACATAAACCCAAATATCCAAATGAATAATACTATATTTACCAACCTAAATACTGATTTTTATATACCGACTCACTACCCAACAACTCAAATCTGAAAATTTAACTCAAGTCGATATGTAAAATCTGTGGCTGAGTCGGTAAGCCTAGCATCACTGTATCCAAATTAATTTACCTTTTAAAAAATTTGCCCTTCTCTTCCTTATAAAACCAACACTCCGCTCTATCACTCACACTCTTCTTTACAGTAGGTTTCTCAGATCTCTTAAACACAATGCTTCAACTTCAGGCACTCCTCTTTCTCTGTCTCTCGCTCTCCTGCTCCGCCACTGCAGGCGACCACGATGCTCCACATGATCTTGTCCGTTTATCGTGCGCACACGCCAGCTACCCCACCATCTGCGTTCGCACACTCTCCGCCTACAAGGGACCCGCCAAGACCCCTCGTGACTTAGCCCAAGCGGCCGTGAAAGTCAGCCTTTCCCGCGCGAGCAAAGTGTCTGCGTACCTCACACAAGTCTCGTCCACCATCAACAAGGGCAACAACACGAACAAGAAAGAACGCAACGCACTCGGTGATTGTGTGGAGCAGATATATGAGTCGGTGGAGGAGTTGAGCAAGACATTGAATGAACTGAAGCATTTGAGACGGGATAAGTTCAGTTGGCAGATGAGTAATGTGGAGACATGGGTGAGTGCGGCTTTGACAAACGAGGACACGTGTCTTGATGGGTTTGAAGATGTTGATGGAAAGGTTAAGAGTGATGTGAAGAAGAAGATCACCAACGTGGCTAGAGTTACTAGTAATGCTCTTTATATGATTAATCGTCTGCATGAGAGTCGTGAGAGGTCCTGGATAAACGTGATGGAAGATGGACGGCAGTGATTACTGTATTATGTAGTTAATACTTTGTTTGAGTGTTTTAGTACAAGCTGTATGTATGATTTTACTGATTATTATTAGTGAATTAAGTGTGATGCTATAGCCTTTTTATTTCACAACATTTGTTTTTAATATTTTGATTTTCTTTTTTAAATTCTAACAAATATATGTATATAGCTTGCATAAATTAATTTAATTTTATTATAAAATAATGAGAAAAAGACGGGGAAATTTTATTTCTGAATATTTTGTAATTATTGACAACCTAAAAAACAGTCAGCACGGGAAGTTTTGAAGACAAATGATCTGTTACAAAATTAATTAATCCATAAAGCAACAAGTTTGAAGTGAAGAATCCAAATCCAATCCTTTGAAGCGTCAAGTATAGACCACCGAAACCAACGAAATAATTCTTTTTTTTTTTTTTTTTTTTTGGGTAATAGAGGTGTTCTTTGCACAAACTCACCCATTTCCAATTTTCCAATTTTTCATTCAAAAGCTCTGTGCTTCTGTCCTGTCCCAATCCCACTAAAGTGCATGTGTTGAAACCATTTTTATTTTTAAATTCAATAAAATATTTTTAGTTATGTGAAATAATCCTTACAAATAACCATACAACTAATTTGTGTAAACACATCTTATACAAAAATGAAAATATAGATAATATGAAAAATCATATCATTAACTTACATCACTTTATACATAATATATGATTTGAAAAGGGAGTTGTGAAAAAAGTCACGTGTAAATAAAAGAAATGTATTTTATTTTGGAACTTTAATCAAATAGTGCAACCTAATTTAGATTTTAGTGCAAGTAGATGATTTAAAGAAAGGGTGTGATGGAAAAACACAACTGAAATTGATTACTCTTATGGAAAGTTGTAACTTATTGAAGCTTACATATTGCATTCTAAATAAGACATTAAGTCCTATATCATAGTGAATATAATGTTTTTTTATTTTGTACCATACGGTAGGGGTGAGCATAGGTAAAGGGTAGAACTATTGAGGGTGTATTTGTAATCTTTTAGGGGTATATTTGTCATTTTCCAAAAAGTATGGGGCAATTAAAATTTACCTGGGTACCTGGAACCAGAACCAGAACCTATGTTTCAAGTTTCAATTCCAAGTTTTTAGGAATTAGAACTGGTCAATTTCGGTTCCTTAAAAAAATACAGGGTACCCAGAATCGATCACCTCTACCATACGATATCCAATATTTTAAGAATATAATTAGAGTAATGCAAATGATGTGTCATTTTACATGTCAATCACATCAAATTACGTTTCACTTGGTCGAATATATTTTGAGACTAAGGGTGCGTTTGGTTTAGGAAATATTGTATTACTGGTAATGTTATATTAATGGAAAGATAGATTACTTTGAAGATTACTGGGAATATTTAGAGAAATTTATTTGGTTAGTTATAATAAATTGGTGGTTATGTTATATTGATATATTTGGTTAAGAGAAAAAATTGGTGAGTATGTTATATAGATTACTAGATTGTTTTTTTTTTTTTTTTTAATTATTTTCTGAATCATTCTTTTAACCCTCAATATTTCAAAATTTTGTCAAAACACCTCAGCCATATAAAACCTTAATTTTTGACAAAATCACCCTAACCACCCCAAGTCGCTGCCAGCAGCTAGCCACCACCGCCTGTCACTACCAAAAGTCGCTGGAATGGTGCACAACCGGTTGGATATAGCCGGTCGTGCGTCAATGAAGCCATTTCAGGAGATCCATGGCTGTTTCACGGCCACATCTTTTGCCATCAAACGGCCATTCACGGCCAAAGATGTGGCTATGAAACGACCATGGATCATAGCTGTGAAAAGGCTAGATTTTTGGTCATGAAACGACCGCTATTTCACGGCTACATCTTTAGTCGTGAAACGACCATTCACGGCCATATCTGGCCGGAAATGGCTTCATCGATGCATGACTAGCCATGTTCGACCGATCGTGCACCATTTCGACACCGGTCGGCAGTGGTGACTGGCGACTGGCGATGGTGGCTGGACGGCTGTGGTAGTTTTGGTGGGCTAGAATTTGTTTTAAATACAAACGCATTAATGTCCAAAAACTTAATTAATTAGGGGTGAAATTGTAATGGCAAGTTCATGTAAATAATTTAAAATAAGGGTATTTTGATCCAAAAAATTATTAATAATGGGTAAAATTGTAACAAAAATAAGATTACCAAGTAATCTTAAAATATCTAAGAAAATAGAGGTAATTAGATTACCTCCTATATTATCAACAGTAATTACTATTGGTTTTTAAGATTGCTATAATTTTTTATTACTTGACAACCAAACATGGTAATCAGGTAATATAAGATAATATTACCTTAGTAATCCCTCATTACGCCTAACCAAACGCACCCTAATATTATATTTATCTCAATATTGCTAATTGTAGACAATTTTTGTTGTATCTAATAAGCAATTTGTTATCTTCATTTTACGAGATTGTTGTTAAGTATAGTACTCATTCAAAAATTATAAAAGCCAATAAAAATTACAAGCTAGTTTAGGTTAAAATACTAATTTTAATATATGATTCATACTCTAGATTGTTAAAATGCCTGAAAAATAGGCATATGCAAAAATAGGAGAAGGAAGGGCTATAGAGTGCAAGCTTTTCAAATTGGGCTATTTTTCAAGTCTAAGAGGGAAACAGTGGTCAATTAATATAAGTTTGCAAAAAATAGAAAGATGTTAGGATCCCACATCTACTAAGCATAGGATTAGCGAGTGGTTTATTAATCCCTGGTGTCACGGCCTCATAGAATTGTGCGGCCTTAAAGCCTAAACGATGGCAATTGGCTCAAAGAGCTGGAAAGCACACACACAAAGAACTCAAAAAAATATAAAGTATACTGAAAAAGAGATGGAGAGAAAAATCTCTAGATTGGAACTAATGGACCATTGAATTCGGGCTGGACATGACACTGGGCTTCCTCCTCTCACAAGCTAGTTTTATGGTGAATTCTACTTAATGGGTTCAAAACAATTGGTATTATAGTCGACCACCATGCATAATGGGCCCTCATAGCAGGCAATAACAATTGGTATTAGAGCCAACCACCACCCATAATGGGCCCTCATAGCAGACAGGGTGACCTGCGAAGTGCCTCTACTCATGAGAGAATTAGGAAGATGGGTTGTGTAATGCTCTCTCTCTCTAGCTAGTATACTCGTAAAATAACAGTAAAACTCACTCTATATATATTATTATATATATATATATTTATATATATATATAAAAAAGAAAAATATACATGTAGATGAGTATAAAATAATGGGCCCATATCTAATTTTTTCTTATATACAAATATTTACATAATATAATACGGTCACAAAACAACAACTCGACAGTGTTGCCAAACCCTTCGCTTCTTGACATTCCAAGCAACCGCATCTCACCTACTACTGCAAAAACATTGAAAACAAACAAGTGAGCACTAATTGCTCAGTAAGTAAACCCGCTATGCTACCTTCTATCTCCGTTGCTCATTTTGATTCTTCTCACATCACACTCGCTATCTTCTTTGTTCTTTCTTGTTCTTCTCTGTTCTTCTCTATTCTTTCTCTCTTCTTTCTCTATTTCTAATTTCTCATTACTCATGATAGTACGCATGGTATCATGCATAGTAGTATGATGCTAATGCACAAATGCATAGGATGTGCATTTTATTTCTTGTTTTTTCTATTTTTCTATTTTTCTTATTCTGTTTTCTTATTGTTTTCTGTATTTCTTCTATGCTTCCTCTTTCTATTCTTTCTTTTCTTTTCTTTCTTTCTTGCCGATCGGACTCGGTTGAGGCATAGATTTGGAACCTTGGCCGTGTTGGGTAAGTCTTCATCCACATGCACTTCTAACGGACTGTACAATTCTTCTTTCGATTCTGAGGCCGCTCACTAAAGGGGCGTGCATGCGGGGCTATGTCACTCATGGGTTCCCCATTGCAATAACCTTCTCTTCTTTATCTTGTTACACTTCTTTTTAATAAATTTCAGATTTAAACTTCTTTAATATTCTCATTTCTTTCTATTTGTTCTTTAACTTTAATGGCATTATTGCTCTTTAATGCTCTTATGAGTATGTATGCATGTAGATGGGCTCATGCTTTATATTCTTTCTAAATTCACATGTTTGGATGCAATAATGCAATATGGTATGTTAACATGTCATTCTCTACCATCCACAAACTCATATCACAGATAACAAAAATTGATGGGAATGCAGAATGTCATATTACCCCTTAATGTTTAGTCTTTTATATGTATTGGTTGCCTAAATGTACTCATTATTATCTATTTTGATTTAGGATGCAAATGGAGGCGTTAATTGCAAAACGGAACTAATTAAGTGAATTCGGATAGTTAACGTTGTTCGTTGTAATCTGGGCATAACTCTCTCATCCGAGCTCGATTGAGATGATTAAAATGAGTGGAACACTAAGAAATATATCTACAATTTCATGTTTTGAGTTTTGAGAAATACTCACTGCATCAAGGTTGTAATTGAGCTTGAATTTGACGCATCTGCACTGGACGTCCTGAGCATTCTGCCTTTCAATTGGGCAGTTTATTATTGGAAGATTTGAGGACATGTGGCACACAAGTTGCAGCTCCGAATCACACTTTCCTATTTATTTTAGGACTCTATCTTATTTTAAATGAATTAGAATCAATTTGATTAAGGTTATTTTAGGATATTAGAATATTTCTTTTAGGAGATTGAGGGGGATTCAAATACTTGAAATGGATTTTTGGCTAAAGGGATCAGATTAGGGTTTTTGAGGGGGAACATGCCTCTTCTTTCTTCTCTGGAATTTTTCTTTCTCTTTTGAGTTTTGATTATGGCCATGAGCGGCTAAAAACTTTTGTAACTTGGTCGTCGGAAACGGAGACCTCGGAATAAACCAACTGTGAGATCTAATCTATTTTATTTTAGTGTTCAATTTTCGTGTTTGAGTTTGAACGTTATTCTGTGCTATCTTCATGATTGATGCATTTAATTACTAGGAGGCCTAAGTGTATTATTTGTTGCAATCTACTGCTAAGTTTGATATCAAATCCGTAATTGTTTGATCCCTCTAACTTGTGAAGCAATTAGGGTTAGTAATTTGCTGCGTCGGAATTAATAACTAAGAAGAACATTCAAGTAAATTAAATACAACCGCTTGTGTTTGTGTTGTTAGTTCATCGATTTCTCTAATTCTTAAGGCTGCCATTAGAAATCTTGAGCGCTTGTTTAGGATGTTTAATGGTAAGATTAATTAAGATCGTTGTTTCCTAATTAATTATAATTAAGGAGAGATAGGAAAATAGTTTCAACGGTGAATATTCAAAGTAAGAATTGATTAAATTTGCATCAATGATCAGTTGTAAGATTCCAATGGTGGATGTGATAGAAACCAAGTTTCGTTATATTAATTGATTTCGAATTAATTTGTTTTTGTCTGTTTTTGCTAAGATTGTTTTTGTTTTACTAAAACCCCCCAGCTTTATTCACATCATCGAAAATTCGGCTAGACACTCTTCGTGGGATCGACTCTTGCTTACCCTATTACAGTTCAGTAGTTAGGTTAGGAAGGTTTTTAATCTTGGTTGCCTACGCAGCGCACCAATAATATAACTCATGCATGCACTTCTCTTTGACATTTCATCAAACAATTTATATGCACACATCAACTCTAATTTGGCTACATTTCTACCTCTCTTCTGTTAGGAAGGTTTTTAATCGACAGGCACCAATAATCCTAATCATGCATGCACTTCTCTTTGACATTTCATCAAACAATTTATATGCACACATCAACTCTAATTTGGCTACATTTCTACCTCTCTTCTAAGCCACCAAAATTTGGAATAAAACACACCAAGATTAACGTCAAACCTGTCCAGGATTCACACTTCATAAATTTTACTCCAAGTCTTCCATAATTCATCCAAACTCTCATCAAACATCAAGTACACAAACACTACTTCTCATGGATAAATTTTAACCATCATTCAACATCAATTCCATCAACAATTCTTCATATATAAGCACATACATGCATAAAAGAAATTCTCTACACAATATTACTCCAATCATGACTAGGGTTGGATTTACTTACCTTACTTTAGTAACCTTCCTTGACACAACTCTCTTTCTCTTAAATCCTATGAACACAAATCATAAGAATTCAACACTTTAAAAATTAAATCTCATATTTTAGTACAAGGATTTTACCTAAGGATGCTTGGGATTGAAATTCCACTAAAAATGAACAAAGATCTATGAATTTCCTTGAAAAATGATTGAAGAAATTTGAGAGAGCTTGGGTGGAAGGTGGCATGAATGGAGGAGAAGAAATGGCTAGGGTTTCATTCTTTAACCCTTAGGGGGCGTTTGGTTCAAGAATGTTAGATTACTGAGAATGTTGGATTACTGGAAAGATAAATTACCTTGAAAGATTACTGGGAATCTTTAAGAAAATGTGTTTGGTTAGTTGGTGGGTATGTTATATTAATATGGTTGGTTATGGGGAATAAATTGGTGGGTATGTTATTTAAATTACCAAATTGTCCCATTTACAAATATTAATATAATATTTTTTTTATTATTAATTTTTGAATAATTTCTTTTAACCCCGAATATTTCAGATTTAGTTAAAACACCCCTGTTTATATAAAACTTTAATTTATTACGAAATCACCCCCACCTCCTGCCGCCGCCACCGCAGACCACCACCGGAAGTCTCCAAAAGTCCCTATCAGCAACTCACCGTGACTAAGAGGCTTCGATATGGCCGTTTCAAGCCATATTGATGGCCGAAAACGGCCAGATCTGGCCGTTAACAGCCAGATCTATTTCGGTCAGAATAGATCTGGCCGGAAATGGCCAGAATTCTGGCCGTTTACGACCATCAATATGGTCGAAAATGGCCATATCGATCACTCCCGGAGCCTTCCACCGAAACTCATTCTTTTTTAGGGACTTTGGTGAGTTTTCCAAGGCGGTCCGTGGTGGTTGGCCGCTGTAGGTGGTGGTGGCTGGGTGGCAGTGGTGGTGGTGGCTGAGTGGCAGTGGTCTGTAAATTGTTTTAAATACAAGGACATTATTGTCCAAAATTTTAGTTAAACAAGGGTAAAATTGAAATAGGATATTAATGTAAATTTATTTTAAAATAAGGGCATTATTGTCCAAAATTTTTATTAATAAGGGATAAAATTGTAACAAAAAAAGATAACCATGGTAATCTCAGAATACCTAAGAAAATTGAGGTAATCAGATTACCTCCAATATTACCAATAGTAACTACTATTGGTATTTGAAGATTACCAGAATCTTATATTACTTGACAACCAAACATGGTAATCAAGTAATATCAAATGACATTACCCCAATAATCTGAGATTACCGCCTACCAAACGCCCCCTTAATATAACAAAATATTACTTATAGTTTTCCATTTTACCCTTGCACTTTCTATGAAATTTCATCTATATCCCTCATTCAATTACCATAATGTCCTCATTTATATTGCATTCTCCATGAAATTCTATCTTTTTTCACTCCCCACTTTTTCAACTAATTATGAGTGAAAATACTATTTTACCCCCAATGGAATTTTAGAGAATTTTCTTCACACTTGTTCAAGATAACTTTAACAAAATTCAAATAAGGGTATTAGGACATAAGTAAAGCTACGTACCTCGATGTGGGCGTTACAAGTTGTCATGGGCATTAGCTTCGAAATAGTTGAAAACAATCACTTAGCGGATTTAAAAAAATACTCCCTCCGTTTCCTTTTAATTGGCATTTTAAGTGTGGGCACAGATTTTAATAAAAACAAAAATTTCTCTCTCCCACCACTTTTTTCCCTGATTTCGCAGTGGGAGAGACTTTGAAAGTGAGAACTTTCCGCTTATTGAAATGCAGTAACATTTTTAATAATTTTGTCTTATTCATCTGTTTTAATAATTTTGAAAGGTGCAGACAAGAGAAACGGCAGAACGACTTTAATTTTGAAAATTTTAAAAAGTCTTAGAACGACAATTAAAAGGAAACGGAGGGAGTATATACGATGTAGATCACTTAGTTGGATTAAAAAAAAGTTGATGTAGACACAATGAGAGGATGGGATCCGCGAAGTCATCTTCTGAAAATAAAAAAAATAAAAAATAAAAAAATAGAAATTAGACACAAGCCTTTGAATTTGGGCTGGACGTGACACTGTGCTCCCTCCTCTTATACACTGGTTTTAAGGGTGAATTCATAACAATTGGTATTAGAGCCAATTATCAACACATAACGGGCCCTCGTAGCGGACAGGGTGACCTGCAGAGTGCCTCTACTCGTGAGAGGGCTAGGAAGATAGGCCGCTGGCGATGGAAGCAGTCACTTAGTTGGATTAAAAAAAAAATGATGTTGACACAATGAGAGGGCGAGATCCATGAAGTCATCTTTTGAAAAATTTATTTAAAAAATTGATATAGACAATGAGAGGGCGAGATCCACGAAGTCATATAGCTAAGAAGATGGGCCGTTGTGAGCATCGCTTCAGAAGCATGGTGGAATGCTAAGAACCCACATTCGCTAAGTATGAAATTAATGGGTGACTTATGAGCCGGCTTTAAGAGTAAGTTCTACCTATTGGGTTTATAACAACAGAACAAGAAAGAAAAATAAAAGTTGATGTAGACGATGAGAGCTCCTGAAAAAATTTTTGGCTGAAGCAAACTAACCCAACCCGAGTAATAATACTGTATGGGGCGAAATAATCATGGACTGGCCCAAACAAGTTTTCACAAAATCTAAATCCATTAACAGCCTATAACAAGTTAGACGGATCAAGTATCAGTTCTATCATACTCTCTGCCTAAACCCTAGCTAAAGTGTCTTCTTCTCAACAGCTACTTTGGCTAGGGTTTTCTGCAACTACACACAGACTCACCATGGACGACGCCTTCGAAATGGAAGATGTCTCCACATTCTTTTCAGAAGATGAGGACTTGTGTTCTTCAATCCTCTCTCGTTTATCAACCTCCACTCAAGACGACCACCAGCACCTCTGCACCACAATTGGCGCCATATCCCAAGAACTTAAGGACCATAACCTCCCTCTAACTCCAGTCGCCTACTTTGGTGCCATCTGCTCCTCCCTCGACCTTATCCTCTCCTCTTCCGACCAAGACTCGTCCGCCCACCGCATCGCTTCTCTCACCACCCTTCTCTCTATCGTTCTTCCTAAACTCCCGTCGCCAATTCTCAAAAAGAAGGGAGATTACTTAAAGGACCTCGTCGTCCGCGTTATTCGATTGAACTCTGTTACGGTTGTTGCCACTGCTTCTGGATTGAAAATTTTATCGCGTTTGCTAATCAGTAGAGGGAGGGTCAATTGGTCTGATGTGTCGCAGATGTACGGCGTCATTGTGGGGTTCATGACTGATCCACGTCTCAAGGTGAGATTTTGGTATCATAGTTTTGTCTGATATGCTAAAAGAGTTGAGAAGCAAGAATGCTAATTGTGTTTTAAACAGGTGAGAAGGCAGTCACATTTGTGTGTCCGGGAAATCCTACTAAGTTTTCAAGGAACTCCGCTATTGTCACCGGCAAGTGAAGCGATAACAAACATCTTTGAGAAGTTTCTTCTGCTGGCTGGTGGATCAAATTCAAACTCTAATGATAAGCCGAAAGGAGCTCAGGAGGTTCTTTTTATGCTGGATGCTTTCAAAGAGTGTCTTCCTCTAATGTCAATGAAATATACGACTACAATCCTCAAGTACTTTAAAACCCTCCTTGAACTTCGCCAGCCGCTGGTTACCAGGCGTATAACCGATAGTCTTAATGTAATTTGTATCCACCCTACACTGGAAATATCGAATGAAGCTCTTCTTGAGCTGTTATGTTCATTGGCTCTTTCTGTTTCCACAAATGAGATTAATGCGGACGGAATGACATTCACTGCTCGTTTACTGAATGTAGGAATGATAAAGATCTATTCACTTAATAGGCAAATATGCGTGACTAAACTTCCCATTGTATTCAATGCCCTCAAAGGTTTTTAATGAGTTTGATTGAGTTTCTTTGTGTCTTAGTTAAAGTATGAAGATGCGTCTAACTCTAGGTTTTGGCAGATATTTTGGCGTCTGAACACGAGGAGGCGATATTTGCAGCCACCGAGGCATTAAAGAGTTTGATAAATGCTTGTATTGATGAAAGCTTGATCAAACAGGGATTAGATCAGATAAAAAAGGAAAACTTAGATACAAGAAAATCTGGGCCAGCTATAATTGAGAAACTGTGTTCAACTATTGAGAGCTTACTTGATTATCCCTATAGTGCAGTATGGGACATGTCGTTTCAAGTAGTTTCAACGATGTTTGATAAATTAGGTATTGTGATTGCTCATTCATACTTCTCTTTTTCATGCTATGTTTTTGTTTCTATGCTGCTTGGTGAACAAGGAACTAAATTTATAGAATGCTCACGAAGTGATGTTCTGATTACTACTTTTCTGACAGAACTGTATCACATGTAGAAAATTATCAAGTTACATTTTTAAATTTCATGTTTTCTGGTAAAGTGTTCTTGTCTTGTTTCATGTGGAAGTTAACCTCAATTGCTAATATTCAGGAAACGATTCTTCTTATTTAATGAGGGGAACCCTTAAGAACTTGTCTGACATGCAGAATCTGCCAGATGAAGATTTCCCTTACAGAAAAAAGGTATTGATATGCTTATCTGGAAAACTGTTGAATATAATCCTTCTTGGTGTTATCATATTTTGGGTATGTCTATTGGCATTTGGTGTTTTTTTTTTCAAATTGTTCAGTTTCCTTCCTTGTTAGTGGCTTTAAACCACAAGTTATATTTGCATTATGCCTATATGTGTTCTACATTTAAATAGTATTTTGGCGTGGCTGGCAACTAATCTTATGGCATATAATTATTTTTCTGTGTTAGATATCTTAAAACATTGTAACCTTAATAACAAGACTTTAACTAGGACCTAGGATTCAATTTAAATGATTTGCCCATAAAGCATTGTAGTAGTATTGACAATGCACTTAAATAGCAAACATTCAAGGGCTGAAGAAGGGGGAAAAATTGAAAAAGGAAGAAGGAAGAAGAAATAATGAACATATAATTACTTGAACAAAATAACTGATTAAACAGAAAGATAAAATTTCATTCAGAAAAGGAAAAACACCCACCTGAAATTGTCTAGCCAATACCTATTGGGTATATGGCATATTGGACACATGGCTACGGATTATTGCTTTAGTGAGATATGGTACTGTTATGTATTGGTATTGTTACACAATGGTTGATATGTGTGGTTGGTTGAATGTTAAAACTTGGCTGTTTTTCATCATTGATACATTCTCAATCTTGGTGGTTGGCAATTGTATCCGGCATGGACTATTATTTAGAAGTAATTTGTAACTTTCAAGAATTTGCACTGTTTCTACATTTAAGGGAACTATGTACAGTAACCCCTTGTATTGATACTGGGTCCTTATTGACTAATAGATAAGGTTGTGCACCCTATGATAAGAATGAGGTAATTTTCAGCATTCATGCGTGACAGTGTCAACAACATTCTGTACTGTAGTATGGTTGAGTGGTTGACATTCAAGATGATGTGAAAGTATATCATGTACTTCCTTCATTGGTACCTTCTCAACATTGCATTTTTTTTACTGAAGTCTAGCTTTATTTCCCAATTTTAGCTGCATGAATGTGTTGGATCAGCTGTTGGCGCAATCGGACCTGAAACATTTTTAAGCCTTCTTCCTCTCAAGTTAGAGGCTAAGGACCTTTCAGAGGTAAATGTTTGGCTGTTTCCTATACTGAAGCAGTATACAATTGGTGCTCGTTTAAAATACTTCAAAGAGAACATGTTGGGTATGGCTGGATTGATGAGGCAGAAATCTCAAAAGGTATGGATGTTCCTTGTGGTCCTTGTTTCCTTCTTGTTTCTGGCATTTGCTTACTTGTAGCTTTTGGCAGCTTGAACAAGAAGGGCGGGTTCTTGCAGCAAGGAGTGCTGATGCTCTTGTCTATTCCCTGTGGTCCTTGTTGCCTTCATTTTGCAACTATCCTCAGGATACTGCTGAAAATTTCAAGGAATTGCTGGGAGTGTTATGCACCACCCTTCGTGAAGAACATGATATTCGTGGAATTATATGCTCCAGTTTGCAATATCTAGTTCAACAAAATAAGAACGTTCTGGAAGGAAAAAATGATTTTATTGGTGTTGAAATAAGTAATGCCAGACGGCTAGCAATGGCCCGTTATACACCCCAGGTTGCAGCTGATAACTTGAGTGTGCTGAAGTTGTGTGCTCGTGAATTATTGTCTATTCTGTCACGTATCTTTTTGGAAACTGAAAAAGATGAGGGAGGTTGTTTGCAGGTACTTTGCTTTCTCAGTGGATAAATGCTTGCTATTTCATTTCTAGTATTCTATTGATTACTTCTCATATAACTTTACTTTTCTATTTCTGGAGAAGTTTTTGTCAGGAATTTGTTTTAGAGGTTGAGTTTCCACATCTTAAAATCTTATAACCATAAATCAGTTACTGGATGTTAACCTAGAATTGATATTAGTTGGTGATTTATCTTTATCATGATTCTTTGATTTTGTCAAACCACTATTTGCTGGAACCTTGAAAACTGCTACACACTAGTCAGCCTCAGAATTTGACCTAATTGAAGATGTTAATTGGGCATCAAAATTCAAAACATAATTCAAGTAATCTACGTATGTTAATGATACTGAACAAAGTCATCAATTGATTCAAATCTGTAATAGTTTAAATTTTGGTAGCGTGAGCTCTAATGAGTTCATATTGATCTTTTTGCCATTGGCAGTCCACAATTGGTGAATTCGCTTCCATAGCAGATAAAGAAGTAGTTCCAAGGTTATTCAAAAGGACAATGCAGGGTCTTTTGGAGGCCACCCAGGAGGCTGGGAAAGCAAAAAGTACTAGAAATTCTTATTCTATGCAGATTGATGATTCATCAAATGAAAGCTCATGTGTTTGTTTTTTTTTTTGGGTGGGGGGGGGGGGGGGGGGAAGAGATTTGGGTTCTTATGGGACTGTGCAGACAGTCATAAATCTTGATTCTTACTGCTGTGCAGACAGTCATAAATCTTGATCTTAACTGCAGGGCCCGACTATTTGACCTGGCAGTTTCACTTTTGCCGGGTTTGAACGCCAAAGAGATTGATGTTTTATTTGTTGCGGTAAAAGCTGCATTAGAGGTTGGTGATTCAACATTGTTGTCTATTGGAAGTTTTCCAAAAGTCATTACACATTGTAAATGTTGTTTGACTATGACTTACGGAGAGCTTGTTCTTGAACTGCAGGATGATGAAGGTTTAATCCAAAAGAAGGCATACAAAGTGCTTTCGGTTATTCTTAGGGTATTTCTTCTGTCATTGCAAAAGTTTGTGAATTGTATGTTTCAATCATGTCAGTGCTACATTTTTATGTGTATTTATGTCCAAAGATGGTGACTAATATAACACGTTTTATTTTCTTTATGTGATGTCATATTTTAGTAGTTGATTTATTATGAGATTATAGTGGGTCTTATCACGTGCACACACAAGGGAAAGGGATGGCAATGGTGTGGGTAAGTGGGAATTTTTTAAGGGGAAAGGTGGGTGCTTGGAAAACACATGGTACAACGTGGGAGCAGGTCTATTGGATCCTTGACCTGACCTGGGTCAACATTTCTGCAATTAATTAAATTTTTGGTATAATTTTGAAAATACCTAGACATGGGCACGAATACTCCTTCCCCATTGGAGCTCCAAAATGCCACCACTATATTTGGCGTCTAGGATTTTTATTTTAGTCATTTCTCCACCATACCCCCTAGCCTCCTTGGACACCGAACAAAGAAATCACCAAAATTAAGGTCATCAACAACAATCCTGCAATCATGATGTAATTGCTGATTGTATTGCCTCCTTGGATGATCCCTATGCTGTCTCCAATGACCTGCTTATCAATGTTGTTGAATCCTGCAGCTATATTATCAAGTACATTGTAGTTCATCCTCTCTTCAGTATCATCACTGTGATATTGACAAATTCACCACTGGAACAAAAAGGTTGGGGTAGGATTGGGAGGGTTCTTGTTGGTGGCCAGGTGATGGGTTTACATATTTTTAGCCAATATGGGTATGTGGTAGGTGTGGGTGAAGGTTTTCCCCTGGAGGAATGGGAAGAAAATCTGTCCTGTCCTTGTTGCCATTCCTATTTACATATTGACTTTATGGAAGAGAAATTTTGAGTATGGTTTGCCCATTGCTTGGCATCACATTGTGAAATTCTAGAACTGTACCTTTGTTGTATGTTTGTTGTTCTGATTGGTGGATTTGTTTTTTTGGGTTTTGTGTGGCTAGAAATGTGATGGGTTTCTTTCATCAAAGCTTGAGGAATTGCTTGGATGTATGATTGAAGTGTTGCCTTCATGCCATTTTTCTGCCAGGCGCCACAGACTTGACTGTTTGTACTTTATCATAGTTCATGTATCCAAGGTCAGCTGAGCTAAAACTTTTTTTTTTCTCTTTCTGTTAAAGCTTATGATAGTCAACAGTTGAAGCCAATTTTCCTGTTTGATAAGAAGGCCTTCTAATCTTACTTGAATAGCTTAAATTTCTATCAACAGGACAATTTTGAGCAGAGAAGACGTGACATTCTTAGCTCTTTTCTGACTGAAATAATACTTGCACTAAAGGAGGTACAAAGCTTACCTACTGGAATATTTGGTTAGCCTTGTTAATATTTTATCTTTTTACTTGTGTGTTTATTATTTAGTGGTCTGTGACTGCTGATCGTTATATTAATTTGGATGCATTACATATTTTAATTGATTAAGAACCTGTTAACATGGTGCTTTCGTCCAGATCATGGTTTTATTCAGTGTGCAAATATTGATTGTTTGATCAATGCCACAAATCTTTGGTACTAGAGTGGGAGAGACACACAAACACACATGGTTTCTAAGTATGCACATCTTGAGTTTTTAATCAGGCAACAAAACTTGCCTTGTCTGAAGTATATCAGTTTCGTATTGGAGCGGGAGAGCTCTGTGTGTTCTAGAGGACATATGACAGTGGTTTAATGTCAAAGAACATAAAACTTAAGTCCATTTTTCTCTTACAAAAGGGAGTTGATGCTACTGATCAATTCCTGTAACATTTACAATTTTAAAAAACCATTAGTGCGAATTTTACTATCAGGTTTTTGAGAAGTAAATTTAGTCATATTAAGTTTATATTATTAACATTAATGCGATCTTCTACATCAAGTTCCTTTTCATATTTCTTGTACAAGTATATGCTTCGATATTTCTTCATGTTAGCAAGATTTGGTGTCTAGAGTGATATTATTCTAATTTATCAAATTTGGAAAAGTCTATTAACAGTCTTTGATGTAAGACGAGAAACAATAGAAAATGAACAAAAAATTTTATTATATGGAATGGTTTAGCTTTTGTGCCATCTTTTCTATTTTCTTTGTTATTCTCTTTATTGTGCCTTTACTCTTTTGTCTTCTCTTTCCATTTCTCCTGTGTATGTTTTGATAATACCTAGAAGAAGCTCTTTTCTCTGTCTTCCTTCTTCTTAATTCTCTCTCTCTTCTCTGGTCATAGATTGCATCCTGTAACCTTCCTAAGAATCAAGGTAACGAAAAGACCTAACTAAAGGCTTGAAAGCTAATTACAAAAGTAGCCCCCAAACAACACTCCCCTAAGAAAGGAACTCTATAAGGTTAGGAGATCAGCGCTTCCGCTTCGCAATTAAATTTAATGAAGAAAATGGGAATATATCTATATTTTGAAGAAATGGAAGACAGGCCCAACATTTAACTTTGTCACATGGGAGGGGAGGATCCTCCTGTCTATAATCTTTTAAAATTCTTTTGTTTCTCTCAATCCAAACGACTCATAAAACCACCAAACTACTCAATCCACAAGATAGTTGCTTTCTTATACCACCCTAAAACCCATAATCTGTTCTATAAGAATGGTTTGATTGTGATCTGCATTTATAAAATACTGGAGATAGTTTTTAGGGTTTCATGGTGAGAGTTCTGAGTCGCCAGGTGATGGTGAGCATAATGCCTGGTCGAGCAAGGGGGTTACAGAACTTCTTTCTGTATATGATTGCTAATCTATCCTTTTGATGATTTTCTTGCAGGTTAATAAGAAAACAAGAAATAGAGCTTATGATGTCCTTGTCCAAATTGGCCATGCTTTTGGGGATGTAGAGAATGGTGGAGGGAAGGAATACTTACATCAGTTTTTTAACTTGGTAAATGCTCATAGATTCTTATTTCAAAACTTCTATTATTTGATTTGAAGCTCTTTGCTTTAGCCATTGTAAATTTTAGCAAAATTCTTTAAGTCATGAGGGGAATCGTGTTAGCTTCTTTTTCTTACCTGAAATGCCACCTCCTGTCATTTTGAATTTTTTGTGTGTGATGTATGTATGTGACCATGATAATTTTCTGAGGTTATGTTTATTCATTGTTGTAGGTAGCTGGGGGACTGGCTGGAGAAACTCCTCACATGATCAGTGCTGCTGTGAAAGGCTTAGCTCGCTTATCTTACGAGTTTTCTGATCTTGTTTCTAATGCATATAAGTTACTTCCTAGCACATTTCTTCTCTTCCAAAGGAAGAACAGAGAAATCATTAAAGTATGTTCCTTCTTCTTTAAAGATGTTGACTGTCTTAATTTTTCTTGGGTGACCTGCGTAGTGCATGTTTACTCTTATCTCTTTCAGTATTCTTATCTGAAGTCAGCTGCTTATTAATGCAGGCCAATTTAGGTTTTTTGAAAGTATTGGTGGCTAAATCACCTGCTGAAGGGTTGCAAATGCACTTGAGAAGCATGGTGGAAGGCTTGCTCAAGTGGCAAGATGACACCAAAAATCACTTTAAAGCCAAGGTTTATTTTTCCTTTCTTTCTGCTTCTCAACTGATTTGGTATTAACGTTTAGTTCTTATCATAGAAGCATTCTATATGATATTGTGCTGAAGTTACTAACCAATTGAATCTGATCAAGTGCTTTAATCAACTTGCTAATTTCTTGTTACTGGTGTTATTTTGCCCTGTATGTAATATTTTTTGTTTTCTCAAAGTTGCTTTTGGCTATGCTGGCTTGGACAATTATTATGTCGTGGTGTCCATATGGAGTAAAATTGTGTATGGGAATCTCTTTTGTTATTGGAATTTATATTTGGAGTATGATGTTTAATACAGATTATACTGAACAGCGTGTGTTCAACTGAAAATTGCAACATTCTGTTATTGAATAAGTGTCTGTGTCTAAAGGAGATCCAAATTCTTTTTTCTTATCTGTCAATATTGAATTGTTTCCAGGTTAAGCTTCTTTTGGAAATGCTTGTCAAGAAATGTGGCATTGATGCTGTTAAGGCTGTAATGCCAGAAGAACACATGAGACTCCTTACTAATATAAGAAAGGTTTGTCAAATTGAAAAGGTGTTTATTTAGGATGCAATTTGTTATGGCTTCAGTTCTGATGTTATTCATTTTTGTTGCCACAGATCAAGGAGCGGACAGAGAGAAAATTTGCAGTTAACCCTGAGGAAACCAGATCTCATTTTTCTAAAGCAACTACTTCAAGGTTTGAGTTTTTCTCATTAGGATTTTGGTTTATGCATGTAGAAAGTCTTTGTACATAATACATTTGTGCTTTTATTCCCCTTTAGTTCTTAGATGAGTTTCATGCTTTAGCACTGTCTAATAGCCATTCCCAACTGAGTAGGTTTCAGTTCTTACTTGAAAGTCATGTGCCTTGCACAGCCACTGTACTATTGTGCTTTAATTAACGTGTTTGTTCCCAGGAATTATATTCTTTTTAGCTATAACAAATTATCCATGTTCTAGAAAAGTTACTTTTTGTGGTTTTGTGATCATTAATTTGTCAACCTCAGAGCTTGAGCCTTGTATCATTAAAAATAAAAGATGGGAAACTGTCCTCTCTCTGGTGTGCAACTTGTTTGAACTAATTGCTCTTTAAATGTTATAAGTTTTTGATGTCATTGTGCGAGAGTCGATGTCATCGAAATTCCGATGCAAGCATGTAGTTATAGGTTATTTTTTCTGGAAATTATTTAATCTGCACATGGGTCTTACTTTTGAGGGTTTGATTGATTTCAGGCTTAGCCGATGGAATCATACAAAAATATTTTCCGATTTTGGTGACGAAGACTCCGAGAACAGTGATGCAGAATACATGGATACAAAGACAGTTTCTGGTCGACGGAGCAAGGCTTCCTCACAGCTAAAGTCCAAAGCATCATCATTAAGGTTAGTTAACTAACATTTTCATTTGTGTGTTCATGATTGGTTGGAATACATGCACTTCATAAATGCCGTTAAATAATTTGCTCACTTAAAAATCAATAAATGAGGGCCACAAAGAACAAAGAAAAAAAAGAGGGCTGGGGGTGTAATTTTATAGTGCACAATGTCGAGTAGCCAGTGAATTTTTTAGGAGCATTTATTTGCCCTGGACAAACAGATGGCTGTGTACTTCAAGTTTTTGAAGAATATAGCTCCATTTCATAGTATCTATGCCTCTGTATTTTCTTGCAATTAACTGTGGCTGATATAGAATCACATATAATTCATCCAGGGTCCAGAAAAAGCGTAAAGCAGATAAGAGCTTGCCAGAAGATTTGTTTGACCAGTTAGAAGATGAGCCACTTGACTTACTTGATCGGCAGAAAACAAGGTCAGCTCTTAGATCATCTGAGCATTCCAAGAGAAAGTCAGAATCAGATGATGATCTGGAGATAGACTCTGAGGGGCGCTTGGTGATTCATGAGGGAGATAAACCAAAGAAGGTATTGCATTCAGTCCCTGATTCAGATGCAAGGAGTGAAGTAGGCAGTATTATGTCCATGAACTCCACAAGGAAAAACCAGAAACATAGGAAAACGTCTGAGTCTGGATGGGCATACACTGGGAGTGAGTATGCTAGCAAGAAGGCAACTGGGGATGTGAAGAGGAAGGGCAAGCTTGAACCGTATGCTTATTGGCCTCTTGATCGCAAGATGATGAGCCGTAGACCAGAGCATCGGGCAGCTGCTCGGAAAGGTATGGCTAGTGTGGTAAATATGGCCAAAAAACTTGAAGGGAAGAGTGCGTCGACTGCTCTTTCATTGAAACCCATAAATTTTAAGAGTCAAAAGAAAGGCAGCAAGAAAACAAGGAAGTAAAAGACCATATACACTGTGATGAAATTGGTTGGGAGATATGCATTCCGGGTCGTGAAGATTTTTGTTAATAAATTATACTAAGTTATAGGCATTGGGTTTTTGGAAATTCATGTATCGGATAGTACAATGCTGTGTATATAATTACATAGTGAGGGGAAGCTGGTCTTAGGAATTTTTCTTTTTTTCTTTTTTTTTTTATTGTCTGCAATTGATCTCATTTTAATTTGTTATCTTTGGGAATGGTATGATCTGGCTTATGTAATATGAGTACCAATTGAACGTCTAACACCTTTTACAAGAATGTGTTAAAGATGGTGGTGTTTTGGTGGGAATGATCAATGCCTTATCACCAATGTCGGATAAAACATGAAATCAGGAAGCTAAATAGGGTTAAATCTTGGCTGGGAATCAATGTTCTCTTTATCTTTAATAAAAGGGAGGATGGGATTTTTCCACCCAAGGTTTGGCGGAACAACACTTTCTGACCTGTCAAGTTTTAAAATGACACTTTTTTTTTATCATTTATCAAGTTTTGTTAGTATTTTTTGTTAATATTTAATTGAAATGACACAAATACTTTTAAATAATTTATTTCTTAATTAGTTTATTATAAATTAAAATTTAGTTAGGTCAATGTCTTTATTCGATTATTTATTAGTTCAAGTGCAAAAATATCTTTTTTTCTTTGTTTATTTAATTAATTAGGAATATTGATTTTCTATGTTAATTAGTAAAAATGAAAAACATTATAAATTTATTAGATTATTAAAGTGATGAAATATTGATGATATTATAAATAAATAAATATTAAGGTCATTTAACTTTAAACAATTCCATAGTATTACTCTTAACTTTTTCGATGGGGTTAATTATCTTTTCTTTTTTTACTTTTTGGCTAATTAAAAAATAATAAAAAATTTATAAAATCAAATATTTAAGGGTATTTTTGTCTTTTCAGTAAAGTATTAATAGAAAACATAACAGAACCTAATGAAGGGTGGGAAAGTGTCATTTTGAAACTTGAAGCGTAGGAAAGTGTCATTTTGCCAAACCTTGGGTGGGAAAATGTTGTTCTCCCTTAATAGAATCCACAATATGACCGGTTTAAGTCAATGTTTTAACAAACAACCCAGGGTGAAACCAGACAAAGTTGTCAAGTCTTAGGTTGACCAGTTTGACCGACTAGTCAAACAAGGTGACAATTTTTAAAATTCAGCAAATACACCCTTGAAAATTAGTTAAGTTCCTATCAGTTTGAAATTTAATAAACACACCCCAAATATACTAGTTGGCGACAACGACACCCCAAATGCAATTCTGATTCTCTTGAGCCCATTCTCTCTAAAATTTATGCAAGATTTGGTCGAAATCGATTAGATTCTGACTAAATCTCACCGACACTAGCGTCGACATTCCAAGCCAGATCTCGTCGATATCGACAACCCTCCCCATCACCCTCAAAATACTCTCCTCCTTCTCCTTACCAAAACCCACCTCACCCCACCCTCGTTAGCCTCGCCAATTGTCGACAAAAGCCAATTGTTGCCACCGCTACTTTTTTTCGATTTCTGATCAATTAACTCATCGAAAATCAACTTTGTTACCACCACTGCATTCAATGACACTTTCTCTTCAAAATCCTCAACATCTCAACCTTTAATTGTTCATGGATCATCATCATCCCAAATTCTAGAGTTTTGGATGAATAAGAAAAATGTTAACCCAACCCAGTGAAGCCCCTGGGTCCCAATTCAACCAGCAAGACTGGACTAGGTTTTAAAACAGTGGTTTAAATTACGAGATGGGCTTACTGGAGGGAAAGTTAATACAAAACAGTGAAACAGATGGGGCAAAGCTATAGTTCGCCATTTTATCATTATACAAGTCGAAGGAGAGTCAATAATGAATCCTTTTCATTTGAGGGGTGGGACTGGGATATATTTCCTCAAATATCAGTTTCAAGTACACATGGGAAAACGAGAAACAGACTGGAATGCAACATACAGGTTAGCCTAGAAACTGCTAGCTTAAAATTCGTTACAATTTGAGCATCATGACAATTTGATCAGCCATCAACTTTTACATAAAAACAAGAAATCAAACTGCATGTAATGGTGGTTTGGTTCAGTGGCTCACATTTAACTAAATAAAGCCCCACTTTGGCAATTTATGAGAAAAATGAAACTCTAGTAACAGTATAAGCTAGTTTCACAATAACCACATCTTGAACTCGGAGCATTGTCTTTCCTTAATCTTTGAGATATTCATCAGTCTCTCTGTGAAGCTACACTGTCCAAGCAATATGTTTTTATGTTCACAAGCACTTGACTAATTGAACATATACCAAGATAATCTTCCTGGGTACTCTGCAAGATGTATTCAAGCCCTACCATCAGTATTCATCCAATCAAGAAGATTAAACAGAACTTAAAAAGTACTGCCTTCTATTTCTCTACATGTTAAGTTTTACTTCTTTCCCTGATGCAAATGAAGCTGAATGTCACCTGAGTGGCTTAAATATTATGAAATAGAAAAATAACAGAATGTCTAAAAATGAGTTACAGAAATGTGATATTACAATTTCCCCTTTTCTAGTTCTTGGTGTGGTTTTTCTCCGTACCCAATTCCCATTTCTAAAAAGGAAGGGAAACAATGACATACCTTTGCCATAATACAGCAACAGTTGGAGTAGCAAAACAAGGTTCAAATTCACTTGTAAGGCACAAAAATGATTGATGAGTTGTGGCCACCAAATCCAAATGAGTTAGACAATGCCGCCTTAACCTCTAATCTCTCTTTATTGGGGCCAACTAGCACTCTCGTATCCTGGATTGGTGGGATTGCATCGAGAGAGAATCATAACAGGAACTCAAAGGGGGGATATCTTAGAGAAAATTGTAAAATATAATTAAATATTTACAAAAGAAAGTGGACATAAAAGAGCAACATACCACTCCTTCATCTGGGTTTTCCAGGTTGATATTTGGATGAACCCACCCAGTCCTTATTGCCTATAAGAGAAACACTAAGTGAGGACTCGGAGCAAAACAAAAAGTGGAAAAAAATGAAGCACCATTATTATGTTCTGCCTTTGTTGGTAAAATAAATTAAACAAAAACTACATATATATATATATATATATATATAGTGTTTACCTGCACAGCTGCTATGGCTTCCACAGCACCGGCTGCTCCCATTAGGTGGCCAATCATTGATTTTGTCGAGTTCACCCTCAACTGTCCAAATTGGAGACCTTAATGACATCACCACAGAATAATACAAATTGGAAATACAAAACAAAATACAATAATCTATGTTACCTCAGGATTCTGGCCAAAACAATGCATGAGAGCTTCATACTCTTTAAGATCTCCAGCTGGTGTGGATGTAGCATGTGCATTTATGTAATTCACATCTTCCCTAGGTACCCCGGATTGAGCTAAGGCTTTTTCTATGCAGAGAATTACACCAGCCCCTGATGTTTGATTGGTAAAGAAAGAATATTAGTATAAGCTTTACCCGTATGGACCATGTGATGTTCTGGAAAGCTACAAAGTGCCAGAAGGGTGACAAGTTCCAGAATTAAGTATCATTTATCACAGAAGATCATGCACAAAGGGATAAACAATCAAAAAGTTGTCAAATTAAGCTACTAGAATAACACTATGAAAAATAGCTAAGAGATACCAATGCATGTTTAAAAAAATGATTTTTAATACTATTGACAGTCAAAATATGTCATAAATTGAAAAGTACAAGTGATTTTCATTTTCATTACAGCAATTTTTACTCACAGCATGCTAGAAATTCTGAAATTGTATAAATAAATACAAGTTTAACCATTCCCACTTTAGTATTTTTCCTTTTACAATTTATTGAATGGGATACTACCTTGTACAAATTTAACATTGCTTAAATCCTTTTGGTAATAAAGAGCAGGTCAAGCCAATCTAAATATTTTCTAGGGGCTTGTTAGCTAGTCAAACCGAGCTCAAGCACAGCTCAAGCTTGATTGATGCCAAACAACAATTTGAATCCATTGAGCCAAACTTGAGCCAGCTCCTGCTTGGCTCATTTCCCTCCTGATACTAATCTACAAAGTGAAGTAGTCATCATCTGACAGTCTACATATCTTTGCCAATTAACCAATTTCTAAACACTGGAGTAGATCCTAAAGAGATCTCACCTCCTCATGCTCAGGAATTTCTTTTTGGACTTCTGTTTAAGTGGAGTGGGCAGCATTGACCTTATCATATATGGGGAAGAAGTGGACTCTAGAGATACTATTAATTGAATTAGGGAATAAAATTGAATCACTTTTTTAGAAATACATAGTCACATGAGCAGACGAGACAGCAAGTCACAGCTCATAAACAAAAGGTAAACTTGTTTACAGTCCCATAAAAAGTTCACTCATAAAACAAGATGAATAATGTTGAGGTGCACCAAGTCTAAGAGTAAATCCTTCATTAAGAACTCAGGATCAGGTTATGGACTTGACCAATCAAAAGACCCACACAAAATGCATTTGATTGATGCATTAAGTTTCAAATATATTGCATTATATTGGTCCAGCAATTATTGAAGTATCACAGAAATTCCACTATAAAGGAACTAATTAAGGAATTGGATTGAAAAAAAGTAAAGATTGGTAGCTGTTTTATTAGGAAATGATAAATTCGGAAAAGGAGCTGTTTATGTGGCAAACATGCTAAATTACAACTCAACTTCATAAGATGGGTTAGAATTCAGAATAATACATTCAGGAATGTCATTATACAAGACAGAAAATGGTAAAGTTCCATACAACAGATTTGTAAAATTGTAATCACAGAAGGAAATTGCATAGTCATATTGGATATTGTAGCAAACTGAAATGTGGAAAAAGAAGAAAAATTCTCATAAAAAAATGAAGCAGGAAAATCAGAAGGGCATCCTGCAAACTAATCCAAAAATGTCCTCAAAACATTTGTAACATTTCATAATAAGAACACTCAACCAAGTAGTTACTTAACAGAAAACACAGAAAATGTACGAAGCTGAAATTCAAACAACTGATCAGTCATACCAGAACAAGAAAACAAAACACTGCCTTTTAGGATAGGAAAATCCCAACCAATATTGCATTTACAATAGCTAGTTTGTGACAAGATGTATTCTTTTTCTAAATGCTGTCAAGAATTGAAATAATCTTCTCAAATAAGTAACAAGGACAAAAGGCATCAAGACACAGAAAATCAAGGCAGTGCAAAAGTATTACATTAGGGGCAATATACCATTGCCAATGACCTAGAATCCAAGTGATTAACCAAATTAAATAGCACCACTCAGCAAATAGCTGGAATAGAAATAGTAATCCATTCCAGCCTCTCAGCATTGCTAGATTTTTTTAAACGTTTGGCCCCCTAAGCAGAAAAAAGTCAAAATGGGTGGAAAGACGACCTTGGCAGATGGCACCCTTCCTCATAGTTCCACAGGGCAAACCTAGAAAGGTATACATTAGCAGACTCAATGGAGCAAAGTAGTGAGCTAACACAATATCTAGATGGTGTGAATAGAACCCAAGCATGAATGAGGTGAGCAACCACCTTTACACCTGTTCAGCTGCCTCAGTGGCATGGATGTCCATATTAACAGGATTTCCCTAGCATATGTTATCCCTGATTTTTCTTATACATAAGGTTACATAATTTTGAGACCTATTTTCCTTAAAATTGGATTGAAATGTCAAAAGCTACACCATGGTTTCATGTGCACAAAAAATTTAAGTTAAAATGGCACATACCATCAGGGCGTGGCTCAGTTATGTGATAAGCATCACAGGTGAAGCTTCCACCAGCAAATTCTGCATAAATATTTGCACCTCTTTTCTGCAAAGTGACATGAATAGAACAAAAAAAATTATTCAGCATTACTACATTTAGCAAGCTAGAACAGTAAAAGACTGGGTTTATAGAAGTTAGGAATTGAAGCAACTAACGACAAGACAAGGAAAGTCATCTGATAATGAAGTAAGAATGACAATGACAAGGCAAATGTAATTAAACTGGACCAAGAAAAAAGATTTTCCAAGATTTAACAGTAGATGTAGCCCTACATTGAGATGACAGAGAAGCAAAATTATTATGTACAGACACCAGTATGCAGTACATGGCACTACACTGTATACCTTGGCATGCTCTAATTCTTCTAAAAGCAGGACACCGGATCCTTCCCCCATGACAAATCCATCACGATTCTGTTGAAATAAAAAATCCATGTTTTAGATAAATAACAAACATGAGTATACCAATGAATTTACCAATACAGTTTAAAATCTGGATAGTAACTTAATTAACTGCCTTTGACGAAAAAATTCACAGAAATCAATGAATTAATCAGTGTCAAAGTTCTTTTAATCCCAAAACACTCAAATTTCAGACCAGAGAGACTTAGTCATACTTTGAGGAGATTTACAACATATAATATATTAGTAATTTGAAATATATTTTTCTCAGAACAAAGTTCCTATTACAGCATAAAGGCAGAACGATTGGAGGAACATTACAGTATCCCAAGGGCGTGAAGCTTTGGAAGGATCTTCATTCCTCTGTGAGAGTGCTCTGCATGCCACAAAACCTCCCAAACCTGCACCAAGAATTATAAATATGAATAGGCCAAATTCTTGCCATGCCAAATTGATACATGATGAGGTGAGTGTAACACAGGAATAGAAAGTACCAGGGGGTATAATAGCCGCGTCTGAGCCACCACAAAGCATTACATCCTGCAAATTCTTAAACATCTTAGGGAAACCACAGTAAAACCAACTAATTATATTTGGACTGGCTTCATAAAAAATAAAAAAAGTATTGATACTAAACATGTAGAATAAACATAAAGATTTAAGAGACTCCAAAGCCTCCATTGATGAAAAAGAAAAAGAGAATAAGTATTGAAACCCAGAAAAAACTTACAGCTTCCCCTCTAATGATATGATTTGCTGCATTCAATATACAGAAGTTGCTTGTAGCACAAGCAGTAGATATTGAATAGTTTGGCCCCATCCATCCCTGAGTAAATAAGTGGTTAAAAGTTCAACTTAAAATTCATCAGCCATCGGGTGTATCTTGAACTTTAATATTGCAGAAATATTAAAATTAAGCTGACCAGATCCATGGCAAGTATAGCAGAACCCATATTTGTAGTTGCAAAAGGCACACAGAAAGGATTCATCTTCCTGTACGAGATCCTCAAAGCTTCAAGTGCATCCCAAAAAACCTATTCAAAGTACAAATTGCCCAAAGAAGTAACAAGTTAATAATTGAATGCTGCACTGCAAACTGAATCAAATATGTATCCCATCTGCAGGTCAAGCAGCTCTCACGCAATTGTTGTTGTCTGGGTCACTGTTTCTTGCTGAAATAATTTCTGGGGGTTCGGTCTTATAGTGTTATGAAGCTTACTAGAGAAACCAGTTTTCACAGGAGGAAAAAAAAAAAAATATTTTGAAGTGTGCACGTAGCATCAGTGCTTCTCCTTGGATTGTGCATTCTACTGCACTTTTAAACTAAAAGGATAGCAGATGGCAAAGATTAATAAAATTTCAAGGCTACCTTCAATTTATTTATGGAATATTACAAAATGAGTAAAAAAATACCTTCATGCCTCCCATAGCTGAGCCAATTAAAACTCCACATTTAGCTTTATCTAACTCATCCATGACATCTTCGGAAATTCCACCATCTACCAGAGCTTTCTTGCCAGCAGTAAGCATATAAAGCATAAATTTATCCATCCTCTTGGAAAGTTTGGGAGCCACCCATCCATCAGTTGAGAAAGATTTGATCTCTCCAGCAATTTTCTGGGAAAGGAGAAAAGGGGAAAAACCATTGCTTCGAACAAATTCTGGATCCAGCAACAAAAACAAAATCAAGACCTCGAATAACATTTACCGTTGGATAACTGGCGCAGTCAAAAGTCTCGATTGTACTAATACCGCTGGCACCCTCAAGCAAATTATTGTAGAAGACATCTGGATCATGACCCAGTGGTGACACCACACCCATCCCTGTAACAACCACTCGCCTTTGCTTTGTATGAGGCTTCTTCTTCATTTTGACTTCCTCGGTAGGTTGCACTGCTACAGACATTGCTTCCCCTAAATTGTGTATAAATTTATAACACATGGTGTGCACATATAATCAGTAACTAACTATGAAATCATTTGCATGGCAAAATGGTTCTGCATCTCCACAACTTGATAATTTCAAAAAATAAGAAATAGCAAAATTACATGCCAAATTTCAGTATGAGTAGGCCTCCACATCAAAAGCAACACAATTAATGCTAACAAACGCAGAAACAACAGTAACACATAACAACAGCCAATATTAACACCACTTAGATAATCAAGATCAATCCAACCACCATAAATTTATACTTAACACTTAATTCAATATTCAAGCAAAGCCATAAACTCGATTAATGCATGCACCTGTGTGACCTTAAATTCAATTGATTTCAAGATGGTTTTAAAAATAATTACAAGAAACACAAAAGACCCACCGCAAAATCAAGATTTAATACATTTCTTAAGTCTTAACCTAACTAGTACATCTTCAATTAAATCATAAATTGTGAAAAGTAGAAGCATCTTGACTGAAAGCAAAAGCACAGACGAAAGTAATAAGAGTTCAATAAATTACCAGAACGGGAACGGGAACGGGAACGGGCCAGTCTTCTTTGGTTACGATTGAGAGTAACAGAGTTGGATCCAAAGAAGGAAGAAAGTGCATTATCAGCGAATAAAGGAAGAGAAGAAAGGGCGGATTTAGAGGAGTAGTATTCGTTGCAAGGCTCAAGAGAAGTAATTAGGCCGTGAATGCTGGATCCACAAAACGACGAAATACTCAAGCTGCGGTTGAATTGAGCAGCACCACTACATTTCGATAAAACTTTTCTTCTTCGACCGAGTCTCTTGTTGCCGGAATGATGAGGATGAAGAAGCATGGAGGGTTGGTGTGGTTCCCGGTCGCACGAGAAGGACATGCAAGCCGCCACCAGCCACGTGCAGAGGGGAGATGTGAAAGAAGAAGAAGACGCCATTATTAAAAAGAAAAAAAGGGAAGTAAGAAAGAACAAGAAGAGAGAAGAAACAAATCTTGATAATAGAAATGATTGGATTGATATGTATGGAGGTAAGTAATTGAAAAAGAGAGTGAGGGAAGGAAGTTTAAGGTTGAGGCTCCATTCGATAACTTCTATAGAAGTAGTGAGGGAGCGGGTGGTTTTGGTTTGGTATTATATATACATATAGATATAGATATATGTATGACAGTGGCTGAGCTGAAGAATACGCTAAGTCTCAGGCAATCTCAGACGTCCCCGTGAATGAAAGGGATTGAAGATTGATTACCAAAGCCCAAGCGCCTCTCTCTCTCTCTCTCTCTCTCTCTCTACTGTCTGTCGTTCAGTTTATATATCTTTATGCTTTTTTTTTTCAATTTTAATTAGAGCAGGATCTATGTTCTATGACCATATTAATTTTTTTTTTCCGACCTCAGCAAGTAATTAAATAGATTTTATTTATATAGGAATTCAAAATTAATGCCGACTCTGTACGGCCCTCGCTCCCGATCAAAAGACTATTTTGCCCTGTCTCCTCACACTATCATATTCTAATGCTACATTTACACCACTCATTACATCATTTTCATTACACCATCACCATTTTACTAATAATTATTTTATTTTAATATTAAAAATTAAAAATAATTAAAAATTTGTGTAGATATGGGATATGCCACATCATGGTGTAATGAAAATGGTGTAAATGTAGCATTACTCATTCTATCACACGCTGTTACTTCATCAAAAATATTTAAAATAAGATTTTTTTTAAATGTCTGTTGTATCCGTATAATGTATAATAAATTTTTTTCTTTAATAATATTTTTACTTGCACCTTAAATCAAACTTCAAACAGGTAAAAAAATTTATAAACAATAACCAATGGCACATTTGTCGTGATAAACTGTATAATGTAGCATTATACTATATGAAAAATATACTATGTAATATCATATTGGAAAATGTTTATTTTACATTAACTTTTTTTTTAATCAATTTTATACAATTTTTTTTAATTTTAATAATTTATTATAACTTCATTTTACTTTAACTTCAAATTTAAATTATTAAATCAAAGACTTTTTTTTACACAAAAAATTACCGGTGACTAATGAATTCTAACCATCATTGGGTGACTTGATCTAAAATGATCTCTTAAATTTGAATTTTTTTTTATGATAAAAAAAAAAGGGTCCCAATATGATGTCACATGTTCGAGTCTTCACGACTCCTAATAGGTGGGTCATTGAAGCTCTTATTTAATCGGTAGTTTTTGGTTATTGGAAGATTAATTGAGGTATATGCAAGTTGACTCGGATAATATCATAAAAACTAAAAATTAACAGATTATGACCCTGAATTTTTTTTCCAACAAGTATAGTAACCTGTATGACGTCAAAGTGATTAGAGGATTAGAGTCAATAATCTATCAATTTATGTTGACAGTGTAGGAAAATTACATTATTTTTTGTGATGATTTTTTCTGTAAAACAAAAACTTGGAATGTATCCTATTGAATTCATAGCTTTAAATAATTAAAATATGGAAGATACTCAGATGGGTCAGCAATAGTTGTTTACTTTTTGTGCCGACGGTATATTAAACGCACATCAAATCGATGAGAGTAAACGAAATTTTCCCACCCAAGGTTTAGCTAATCTCCAGTTACCACCCCTAGTTTCATAAATTGCAATTCCCACCCTTAAATTAATACAATAACTTTTCTCTCAAAATAACCTCCACATTTCAAATTTCTCTCAAATAACCCCCAAAGGTGATCCCGACCAAGCCAAAAATCAGGTATGATTTCGACACCATTGGACCTCCCCGACACCACCATCAGCATCCCCTTATCCTCTTCACCAAAACCCCTAACTTTTCCACCCGATTGCACCTCAGCGAAATACCAGAATTTGGCTGGAAATGGGCGACAAAACGCGAAAACCTAAGGGAAGGCGCCGATGATATGCGGCCGATTGTCGTCGACGATGTTGGGGGTTTTGGTTGGGGAAGCCGATGATGCTATTGGTGGTCTTGGGGGTGGTTTTCGGTGCCGGGACCTGTCGAAATTTGGATGAAACGTCGATTGACACTAAAAGTGACGACCAGTAATTAGGGGGTTCAATCAGACAGGGAGGTTGGGGGTTTTGATGTAGGGGTTGAGGGGATTATAATGGTGGTGTCAGAAGGGGTCAATTATGCCGGAATGGCCTAAAATCGTTGATGAGGTAAATTTGAGAAGTAAAGTGTTATTTTGAAATTTTTTGATGGGGTGAATTTGAGAAATGAAGGGTTATTTTGAAACTACCATTTTGCCCTGTTAATTGATAGATTAAACAGTTTTCTGTTAATTCAATGACGTAAATCTGTAATTTATGAAACTAAGGGTAGGAACTTGTAGATTCGCCGAACCTTGGGTGGGACAATGTCGTTCACTCAATCGATGACCAATTGCCAAAAAATGACACATTAACAACTTTTTATTTTTTTATTTTTTTATTTTTTTTATTAATATTATTTTAAATCAATAATTTATTTTAACATTTAAATTATTATTTTTTAAATTAAATGATATGATTAAGATTTAAAGTGAAGTAAATGATATAATACATCTCTTAACTTGTGTTATCATTTGATATTAAGTGCTATAATATATATACATTGAATGCTTGTACATTGTATTAATTAATAGAGTACAAATTTACTAAATATGGCCTTGTATTGTTTGCTTTTTTAAAATTCATTTGCTTCGGTCATTTCAAAATTTACACTTTGCATTGTACTGGCGTTACCACACACCAAACTTCTGCCTAATATCATTAATTTCTCTATTTAATTAGTACTATATCAAACTTGGCGTAATATAATTACTATATCTTATATTTTCAGTTGAATATAGCGTATACTAGATAATCATCGTAATATCAAATAAATAAATAAAAACAAAAATAAAAAAATGTATCACATCATTTATATTATAAGTCAATATTTTCATGTTAGATGTGATTTTTTTTTTTCTCATAAAGAATTTAAGTGATTTTAATTTTCTTCAATCAAAAGTAATTAAAAAAAAAAAAAAAAAGATAATAAATAACAAGACCGGTATTAAAGCTAATAAATATGAAGTTATATCTGACTAAATATTTATGGTGATTAAGGTTTGAATTAAGATGGATGTAGAGAGTACTGTTATTTTATTTAATCATAGTACTTGTTGTGTTTTAGCAGGAAATTGAATAATAATTAATGAAATAATTTGAAGATTTGTGGGCATCTGGAGCGTACAAGTGCAAACGTCCCCACACGTATTTTAATTAATCTACCTTATTAATCAGTTTTTTCTTCTCATACAGTATATATTAAAACAAAAGCCAGAAATCCGAGATCAAATCCTCCTTTTACGTCGCTTGGAGGCTAGGCTGCCGTGTGCCACGAACTGATGCCGCCACCATTGATGCTGTTTGTGCTCTATTAAAAACGTGTTTCTGTTTCAAAGCATAAGTGTTTTAATTTGTGAATATACATACTTCTCAATTTTATAGGGTACCCAAAACCGAAACTAGAACCGTCGGTTCCGGTTCCGGTTCCTTCCAAAAATGTAGGGTACTCGGAACTGAACACCCCTAGTGTCAACAATACATTTGGTGTTTTGTTAATTGTTTATAAGTCATGTTAGTTTGTGTCAATAATACGTCTGTTCTTTATGATTTTGTTACTCGATGATTTTTCATTTATCTATGTTTTTGTTGTTGTTTACAGGTAAAAGATTCATGAATTGACATGAAATAAATGCGAGATGTCCGATTGACATTGTCAAATGAGTTGTTATTTTGATTCGTTCTTCTGAACTGTAAGTATATCTTTTAACTATTTTAATACGAAATTGTAAGTACATCTCCTAACTATTTTAACGGTTATTATTTGAGTGAATGATTGTTTTTGTTCGGTCAATCTAGTTGAATGATAATTGTGTTAGTCTGCCGAACGGTAAGTGTAGTCCTTAACAATTTTTATATGGAGAATAATTAACTTTTGTTGATTTTGTTTTCAGGTAACAGTTGTTATACGAATGAATAATTGTTCCTTAACAATCTTAACATGAAGATCGATTAAATTTTGTTATGTTTGTTTTCGAGGAAATGTTCATATACTTTACTAAGATCAAATTGAGGATGATCCTATTGTCAGCCGAATTGTGAGTGTGTTTCATATATATATATTAGTAGAAACAGTTCATTTGTGTTGAATATGTTTTATGTAAAAACATTTGTGTATTTTAATTTGTTATATGAATGATTAATTGTTTATGTCCTACTGATGTGCGAGTATATATGTTAAATGAATTAATTTTGGTTGATTCCGTTTTTCAATTAATAGGTGTTATTTGAAATATTTCTTATCAGTCATAATATGATAATCCCTTAAATTTGGGTTAAGTAAACAATTCATTTTATCATCCCACGCATTTCAGTTTTCACTAAATAATCAGTAGTAAATTAACCATAACTTGCTCAATAAAAATTCAATAGATGAGAGGATTGAATCTTTAGAAACTAGACAGACAGAGCTTTAATTTGATATATTATACGCTTAATTTGGATAATTGTAGCCCCACCGCTGAACCATTCCTTTTATTATCACACACATTTCGATTTCCCCTGTTTCTCGATTTCCACTGAATAGTCAATAGTAAATTAACCACAACTTGCTCAATAGAAGTCCTATTGATAATTAGTTTGAATATTTGAAAATTAGACAGACAGAGCTTTAATTTGATATATTATATGCATAATTTGGATAACTATAACCTCACTTCCGAACCATTCCTTTTATCATTACACAGATTTCGATTTTTACTAAACAGTCAGTAGCAAATTTACCATTACTTGTTTAATACAAATTCAATTTATGAGAGGTTTGAATATTTAGTAACTAGACAGATAGAGATTTAATTTGATATATTCTATGCTTGATTTGGATAACTTTAGCCCCACTGTTAAATAATTTCTTTTATCATCACACACATTTTGGTTTTCACTATCAATTTATGTTGACAGTGTAGGAAAATTACATTATTTTTTGTGATGAATTTTTCTGCAAAACAAAAACTTGGAATGTATCCGATTGAATTCATAGCTTTAAATAATTAAAATGTGGAAGATACTCAGACTGGTCAGGAATAAAGTTGTTTACTTTTTGTGCCGACGGTATGTAAAACGCACGTCAAATCGATGAGAGTAAACAACATTTTCCCCCAAGTCCCCCAAGGTTTAGGAAATCTCCAGTTCCCACCCCTAGTTTCATAAATTGCGGT